CGCCTGGAAAACCTACGATAGTACCTTTAGATAATTTATAATCCTCAAGAGCATTTGGATCTATGCCCTGTTCATTAAAAATTGATCCATCGATTTCTTTAATGCCAATTATTTTACATCCGCCTCTATGACAAAATCTCATGGTATGTAATCCAACATTACCTAATCCTTGTATAATTACGGTTTTACCTTCAGTTCCTGTTTTTAATCCAATAGTTTTCATTATACCTTCTTCAGACACAAAATTTTGTATACCGTGGAAAATGCCTCGACCAGTAGCTGGTGTTCGACCGTGTATACCACCTTGGTTTATAGGTTTGCCAGTTGTTATTGCTTGATGGTTGATATCCAAATAGCCTATAGTTTTAGCATAAGTATCAGCCAGCCAAGACATTTCCCTTTCACCTGTGCCCATATCTGGAGCCGGCACATCAAGACCTGGACCAACAAAACACTTTTTAGTGCATTCTAAAGTATATTTTCGAACTATTTGCTCTAGTTCGCTAGGACTGTAACACCTGGGATCAATTTTTACTCCTCCTTTACTTCCACCAAAAGGAACGTCTACACATGCACATTTAAACGTCATCAAAGCAGATAATGCTTTTACTTCGTCCCTATTGACATGCTCGGAAAACCTTATTCCGCCTTTTAAGGGAGTTTTATGGCCACTGTGATGCGCTCTATAAGCTTCAATAATTTCATATTTACCGTTATCCAGTTTAATAGGTAAAGCTAATTCCAAAAGGCCGTCACAATGTTGCATCGAGTTAAATATACCTGCAACTCTATCTTCAGCTTGTTCTTTTGACAATTTGCTTCCTTTTTTCTTCATTATATCTTCAATAAGCTTCTGTTCAACAATAATGCAAGCTTTGTGAAAGAAATACTCAATCATATCGAAGAACTCAGGATCTGCTTTGGTTGCCACGTCTTTTATTCTATCAGGAATTTGATGGGCATAATGACGACTTTGTATACTGGTTTTAATTAAAGGGAATACTTTTAGCAGCCGTTTTTCTTCATTTCTGAAAATTGTAGGCGTTTTACGTTCTCCACAGAATCTTTTTTCATTTTCATTTGGTAATAATATCAGACTTCTTAACGGTAATTTTGCATTTTGTACAAATCTGGTTGAAGCAACGTTATTTAAAGACATACTGTTCAGCAGATATAGGTATTTGTAATGAAAAATCGTTGAAAATTTTACAAAATAGTGACATTACTACTTTGACAAATAAAAAAAGCTTACTGGGGAATTATACATACTAACTTATTTGTAGGATCGTAGTGACGTCTGTATTTTTTTGACGCTGAATATATCGAACAAAAAATGAAGTAACCAATAATGATAAAATTACAATATATAGAATAGAATCAGCTAACGAAAAGAATAGTAATATGAAATGTGTAAAAATAAAACTAGATTCTAAATTACTAAATTCAGAAATAAGAAAAGAGTGAAGAAAAATATAAAATATAAAATTATAAAAACACGACACTGAGCTATAGCTACAAAAGGAAAAGGAACCTCGCGATAAATAAAAAAAAACTTAAAAGTAAAATAAAAAACTGGATTTCACTTGCAGTACAGGGTGTCCCAAATAGGTATATTTTTTGCATGGTATTAGTAGTAAATTTGCATAGAAAAAAGTAGTCAAGATGTCATTACTTCTTTTTTCGTTAAAGTAATTTTATTTGATTGCCCAATCAAATCATCATTAGCTCCTCACAGAATTATAGATCTTCTTTATTAAATTTTTTTTTAAACTATTAGAACTGTTGACAGATGTGTTATAAAACTGCTCAGTAGCGTATAAAAAATTATTTCAGGGGGTCTTATTAATGAAAATATAATTTCAACTTATGGTTTTTTATATATGAGACACTCTTTATATTTTGATCTTTCTCGTTTAAATTTTTAATTGTCTATTGTCTTAAGCTAGGCATTCACGTTCCGACTTGCAGTCCCATTTAGTAGGACTACTAGTTGGACATTCGTCTCCACTCACGCTCCGACTTGCTATACAACTTGCGGTTCAACTTCAGTTCTAGTTTGTTTTCAAGACGGCGTACATCGGTTAAGCAAAAAATGTATCAAGTAAACACTACGCAAAATGTAATTAGAAGGAGGAAAATGACAGCATTGTGCTGTATCCTTATCATTTGAAAAAAAAAAGAAGAAATGTTGGATAAGATAAGTATTGGGTTTCACTCCAGTTAATGAAAGAATATGCAAAATACGTCCAAGGAGAAAATTTCATACTATTACAATTATTAATATCCATGCTCCAACAGAAGCAGCAGATGAACTAGTAACCGATCAATTATATGACCAACTACAAGTAGAATGTGAAAACGCACAGAAGAGAGATGCAGTTATAGTCCTGGGTGATATGAACGTAAAGCTGGAAAAATGGTATGTGCAGCAAAAAATTGCAATAACAAAGGCTATAATTGCGATGTGTCTTTTCTCAGTTTTCCCGAAGATAAGGCAAGGTAAGAAATTCTTCTTCTTCAAGTTCCGCTCCTATCACAGATTACAAATCATTCTGGCAATTATAATTTTGTTGGTTACGCGCCTGAATAGTTCAATTGAACTGCATCCAAACCATTCACAGAGATTGCGTAGCCACGAGATTTTACGTCTTCCTACGCTTCTTCTGCCTTTGATTTTACACTGCATTATATTCCTTAGTAGTTCGTATTTTTCACCTCTCATGATGTGCCCCAAGTATTCCAATTTCCTGATTTTTATGGAATTTAAAACTTCGCATTGTTTTGCTAGTTGTTCGAGAACTTGTTCTTTGTTTTGCGATCCATCCAAGATCTTTTTAAAATACGTTGGTAACACCACATTTAGAATGCTTCTAGGTTTTTAATGTTGGATTTTTTAAGTGTCCAAGCTTCAACCACATACAAAAGGGTAGAGAAAATATAACATCCATGCATTCTTATCCGGAGCGATATATTGATATCGCGATTGCAAAAAAGTTTTCTTATTTTATTAAAAGTTGCCCGTGCAATTTCAATGCGAATGTAGAATTTTTTTTTTGTCTGATCAGTATCTGCTGTGATCCATGCTCCAAGGTATTTGTACGAAGATATTTGTTCAATTTCTGTATCATCTAGTACTAGCTTGACTTTGATGATTTGTGCTTTTGTAAATACCATGAACTTGGTTTTCCTCAAATTTATTTTTAGTCCATAATTGGTGAAATATATATTCAGTTGTTCAGCAAGGTGTTGCAGTTCTTCTAGTGTTTCTGCCAAATGAACGGTGTCGTCAGCATATCTTATGTTATTAAGTGGCTCACCGTTTATTATAAGGCCCTCACTGACCTCGACAAGCTCTAATTCTAAGATGGCTTCACTTATAACTTGAATAACAAGGGTGATAAAATATACCCTTGGTGGACCCCACGGCGAATCTGGATATCCTCGGTCAGTTCATGTTCCGTTTAGTTCCAATAGAGGTTACATATGATTGTAATGTCTCTACTGTCGTATGTTTTTATTTAATAAAATTTCTTTAAGCCGATTATGCTTTATTCTATCAAATGCCTTCTCAAGATCAAAGAAATAGGCATATATTTCTTGATTTATATCTAAGCATCTCTGCGAAAGAACACTTACTGCAAACAGTGCATCTCGTATTCCCAGTCCTTTCCTAAATCCCATTTGTGTATTACCTATGCCTTCATCTAATTTCTTATGTATTCTATTGTGAATTAATTTTAAACACAATTTCAAGATATGACTCATTAAGGCTATGGTGCGATGTTCATTGCACTCTTTTGCATTGGCTTTTTTGGGAAGCAGTATGAATGCTGATTTAAGCCATTCTTTAGGTAATATATTTGCTCTATATATGGTATTGAATATATCCAAAAAAAGATCAATAGATTCAGTATACACAATTTTGAGTAATTCGATAGGAACTTCAGGCCCGAGAGATTTACCACTTTTAGCTTGTTTCATTTCATATTCAATTTTTTCTCTTATAATGTCAGGACCAGTATCATCCCTAAATTCTTTTGGTGCTTCTGGTCTCTCTTTGTCTTCAAAAAGTTGTGCTATATCTCTGCATTTTTGGGTTCATATATGTTATAAGTGCATCACCTTCATCCCTTAGTTGCCTAGTTTGAAGTGTTTTTCTCATTACTGTTAATTATCTAATTCTTTTATGCATGTTAAAAAAATCATATTTTTTCTCAATTTCTTCTAGTTCTTGGCAATGCTCATGTAGCATTCTCTCCTTAGCTTCTTTTATTCTCTTTTTAATTAAATGATCAGTTTCATTATATTTAATTGGATTTTTTGTTTTGAATAATTTTCTTTCATTCATTAATAGTAGCATTTTTCTAGTCATCCAGTCTTTATGTTTTCTTTTCTTTGGTTGTAAGTTTTCATTTGCTGTTTTAATTATTGCTACTTTTATATTTTCCCATTTTTGATCAATGTTATAGCTACTTTTATTCATTTGTTGGGCATTAAGTAGATTTTCAGTCAGAGTTTTTACAGTTTGTGGTTCCCTTAATCCCTTAATATCAGTTCTACTTTGTGTGGATTTTTTAACCAGTTTCAATTTGGTTCGTACTGTGACTACTATGGGGTTATGGTCTGAATCGATGTCTGCTCCAGGGTAAGTTTTGACAGACAGTATAGAATTACGAAATCTTTGTCTAATGAGGACAAAGTCATAGGTAAGAAATACTGGATATAATACAGATGGTAGTTTGTTAAAAAAGTTAAAATTGAATTATCCAATGAGTATTGGATTGAAGTTTACTAAATATCATGCAATAGATTTTCTTTTCATGTTAGAGTTATAAAGATAGCTTGTTGAACTAGATGGAGTACAGGAATTCATAATTTCTTGCTAAAACAAACCTTGGATAATTAATTTGAGAGTGGGCATTTGAAAGTGAGCATTCTGGTTGTTTCTTATTCTGTGATATTAGTAAGATTTCGGTTGTATATAAAAATAAAACACGAATTTATGTTTAGGATGCCTTCACTTTTTTATTTCGCACATCTCTTTTTAAAACCTTTATAAGTAACATTATTACTACAATAACAACAAATATAATATCTAGTAAGTAGAGCTGGAACCAAGAAAGATTTAATGCGGGGCTTCTAAAGTACCTGTCAGGATTATACTTCAAGACATATTCGATTGTATGCACTGCTAAATCCATTGGATGAACGGATCGGTCTCTGAACATCTTGGAGATTTTCTTGACATTCTTTTGATACCTGAAAGAATAAAATAATACATTCATTATTAATTTATAAAACAGTTAAAATTAAAATAATTAGGTTCTGACACTATTATTTATTGAAAGCAGCTTTAAATAATGATTTCATGTCCTAGATCAGCGATACTCAAAGTGTGTTCCGCGGAACCCTAGGGGGTATATATAATATACTCCCTGTATATACTCTGTATGACGCTTCCGTTGCATCAATAGACTGGACAGCTTATCGCTTTTTATAAGTTGCCTTATTATAAGTATCATGATATTGACGTCCAGACGCTCCAATCAAGCGTCTCGACTTTGCCTAGTCCTTCCTTTTTTTTAACTTTTACTAATTTCAATTGGTTGAGAAATGAAAAAGTTTCGTATAAAAGTTAAAATAACTTTAAATACGGGACATTTTCGGATCTCTAGTCAGTACCGGTTTTACTCTCAGAGAGTAGCCGTCGAGCTCCTCACTTGAAGGACTCGGCAATTTTTTCAACTCCACCAATAAGACTCTGATGTTAACTTTTTTTTCCTTCAGAGATGTTTGTTTTATTTCTACAACCTTAATAAAACATACAGGCATTGTCTTTTTCAAGACAGTGCCCCAAAAGAGCGTCATGGACTAACATCGCAATATTGTGCAATATTGCGCAATGTTAGATCATGGCGATATTAATAACCATAGGAAATGCACATAGTTGCTTTTACGTTTTTCCATGGCTTATTAATTCCAGAGACGACATGGCGCCCAACTCAATCGAACACGCTACGGCCCTGGGAATCCAGAGTCCTCATGCTCCAGCGAAAAATCCGCAAAAAGTTCCAACACGATGCCTGCACCAAACACCGGCGACAAACATCGGATATTAGTAAGTAAACGCTAATATGCCGATATCCACCATCTGCAGCTCTGAAACCGTCGATGTGTGATATTTTCGAGCCACCCGACTTCGATGCCGTACCTGATGCACGATGGATGTCCCCGGAGTAGCCAGTCCCTGCCTGCCCTACCATTATGTGGTCCAGAGCACCACGGAGGCTCAGGCAAACTCGCCTACGACCCACCGGCGACATGCAGAAGGTACCGACAGGGCTAGAACGGGACGTAGCGGCCGACGATCGACCACATCGCCGAGGAGGAACCTGCAGAAGATGCTGTCCACCACACCGGGCACCCCCAGTGAGTGTTTGTGCAAGTGTAGTGCTACGCGACGCGAGTGCAGTGTATGTGTTAGAGAACTGTAAGTAGAAACTTTTAAAAGACATTAAGTTTATTCATTTTTAAGCATTTTTTACCATTTTTTGACTTGTAAAAATTTTTCTTTTTCTTTGAGTGTTAATAAAAATCAAAAGTTTTTTTATCAACCTCAGAGCCTTTCAAAGCGGGGGGGGTGACGTCCAGACGCACCAATCAAGCGTCTCGACTTTGCCTAGTCCTTCCTTTTTTTTAACTTTTAATAATTTCAATTGGTTGAGAAATGAAAAAGTTTCGTATAAAAGTTAAAATAACTTTAAATACGGGACATTTTCGGATCTCTAGTCAGTACCGGTTTTACTCTCAGAGAGTAGCCGTCGAGCTCCTCACTTGAAGGACTCGGCAATTTTTTCAACTCCACCAATAAGACTCTGATGTTGACTTTTTTTCCTTCAGAGATGTTTGTTTTATTTCTACAACCTTAATAAAACATACAGGCATTGTCTTTTTCAAGACAATGCCCCAAAAGAGCGTCCTGGACTAACATCGCAATATTGTGCAATATTGCGCAATGTTAGATCATGGCGATATTAATAACCATAGGAAATGCACATAGTTGCTTTTACGTTTTTCCATGGCTTATTAATTCCAGAGACGACAATATGATACTTCAAATATCCTCTATCAAACCTGATATCAACCAATTGATGAAAAATAAAAAACAGTTTCAAACCTCCCATTAATGTTTTTTTATTTAATATCTTCTATTATTATACTTGTGATGTAAGTAAGTAATAAGTAACTGTTACATTGTACTTTTATTATGCTTATTAATAAACAATACACTTTTAAAAACTACTGTTTTATTGGAGGGTTCCCTCAAGTATTTCGCTTTCCAAAAGAGTTCTGTCACCAAAAAGATTGAGAACCGCTGTCCTAGATACTTATATTTATCTACGAGGTCTTTTTCTTGCCCAGCAATATCGATGTTCTCGTTGGGTACAAAATTTGTCTTTTTTTTTCGATATGTTTGTCTCTCTTGGCATTATTATATCATCAGCGAAACTTGTTGTTTGTTTGGATTTATATGACTCTGGACACTGGATCCATTCGCCAATCTCACAATTTTTACTCATTAACTCATTAGTCGTTGTTTCGTATAAAATTTTATCCTAAACCTACTACTAGTATTGATCTCTAATATCGGTGAAACTTAAGGTGTTCTGATATGCTTCATTTATTTTTATTTCCTTCTTCAGCCAATCCAAATTAATAAAAGCAGGTTCCAGCACAATATTAAAAAGTTTAAGTGATATTGTGTCTCCTTGTCTAACCTTCCGCTCTATTTTTATAGGATTACTATCAGTACGTAACTTGACAGTGATTGTTGAGGTATATATTGTATAATAATTTTGTATACATATATACTAGCCTATTCTAAACCAAATTTAGATGCAGAGTTAACAAAGAAATACAACATAGAACAGACAAAATGGACCTGGAAAAAGTGAAGATTCAGGAATATAAAGAGAAGTTCGAAGAAGTCGCAGATGAGCTAGAGAACTGCACTCCAGAGAGGACAAATTGAATAATATCAAATCAGTAGTACTGATAGCGACAGCGTCTACCCTGGGAAACAAGAAAAAGGCAAGTAGAGGAGTATGGCTCGATGACAAGTGCAGAAAAGCAATAGAGGAAAGAAATGAAGCATACAAAATGTATATAATAAGGAGAATATGGAAAAGATGAACATCATTAAAACTAGCTAAAAGAGCCAATAAAAATGGATAAATAGAAAAAATGGACGAGAATTTAAAAACAATGAAATAAAAGGAGTTTACGAATACCTAATAAAGATAAAAATTGGGTATAAACCTCAAACAAGTCTATGTAAAGAAGAAAGTGGGCAAATAGTTAGTGACCAACAGAAAGTCACAGAAACCTGGAAGCATTGTATTCAGACCCTACTTGGTACACAAGTAGACATGGAAGATAAAAGGTACGAACTACCTAGAAGAGAATGAAGTGAAGAATGCATTAGAAACTCCAACCAAAGAGCAGTTCTCGAAGTTATTAAGGCCCAGAAAGCAATAAATAATGTTTACAGTCGAATAGATTTCGAGTAAATTATGGGAACATGATACTGATATTCACAACGTGTTTGTAGACTTTAAACAGGCATACGACTCAGTCAAAAGGAACAACTCTATAATATATTGGCTGAATTGGCAATATCACATAAGCAAAAGACTCATTAAAGCCACAGTGGATGAAACTCAGGCATGTGTACGAATACAAAACCACCGGACAGACTTTTTCAAAATTTCGCAGGCACTAAAGCGGAGAGGTGGGCTCGCCCCAACTTTTTTAACCTGATACTGGAGTATGCGGTTAGGCAAATGCAAACTGGACAAGGAAACCTACTTACCAACGGTTCAACTGGCCGCTTATGCCGATGATATTAATATTATGAGTAGAACATCATCATTTGGCGCTACAGCCCTTCATGAGCCTTGGCCCGCTTCAAAACATTCTTCCATCCTTCCCTATCGAGTGTCTGCCTTCTCCAGCCCCTCACTCCAATCTCCCTCAGATCTTTCTGTACATCGTCCATATATCTGAGTTTAGGTGGCCCCCTTCTTCTTCTTTCAACCGGCCTGTTTATCGTAGTTATTTTAATGGGATCACTCTCATCCATCCGCATAACGTGGCCCACCCACCTTAGGCGGTTTATTTTGATGGTCTTCACAATATCTGCATCACCAAAAAACCTACTATAGAGTTCAAAGTTATATCGCCTTCTCCACAGACCCTGTTCGTTTACTCCGCCATATATGGTCCTCAATACTTTTCTTTCAAAGACTCGTAGTAACTCTTCATCTCGGGTCGTTATTGCCCATGTTTCCGATCCGTATGTGAGCACTGGGCGTATTATTGTTTTATAAAGTTTGCACTTTGTTGCTATTGACATATTTCTCGCTCTTAGTTGAGGGCTCAGGCCAAAATAACAGCGGTAAGCAACGCATATTCGTTTTTTTTATCTCGTTGGAAACACACACAGGAAACATACGCAGAGTTAAAAACGCAAACAAAACGCTAGGTCTAGAAATTAACACAGAAAAACCTAAAATAATCATACAGACAAGAAGAAATATAGTCCCACAAAACATTATACATGAAGATTACATTGAAACGGTTGGAAAGTTTACATACCTAGTAGTAGAAATACAGTGGGTGATCAAATTATTAGATCCACGTAGTAAAATTCTTTTTATAAATAGTCTGGCAATATTCTTATAGTTTAAAGTTATAATAAATAGTTTTCATTGCTCTCTAGTGATATTCAGACAGTTTTATACTATTTTTTAAGAATTAAGCAAACATTGAATGTTCGTTACACCAGTGGTACAAGAACATCATAAGAAAAGCCAAAGACATCTCACCAAGGAAAATAGCAAAAATAAAAACTTTAATACTAAACACTTATAACTACAACAGAAAAATAGCATTCATTTCTAAAGTTGCAAGGACAAATGTGGACCGTATAAAGAAAAAACTTACGAACATTTGGATTTGACACGCAAACAAAAATGTGGTTGAAAAAAAAAATACAACACCACGAGATGAAAGACAAATTCGAGATATTCTCTTGGCAAACAGAAAACAATCACGAAGGACTTTAACGAGAATAATGCAGGAATCTGGCATCAATATTTCACCAATGACAGCTCATTGGCGAATAAAGATATAGGGTTTTCAACCTGTCGTCTTGCACAAAAGCCGCTACTCAAACCAGCCATGAAGAAAAAAAGGTTTCAATGGGCTAAAGAGCATACAGATTGGACAATTGATGTTTGGAATCAGGTACCATTACATTGTTTTTTATGTGGTTTACAGTTTATCAATTTGTCCTTAATTCTAAAAGAATTCTAGGTTTCTTTTTCATATGAATCTACCGTGCAGATCTTTATGGATAGAGCTGAATTTGTGAGGAGAAGACCTGGGAAAAAATACAAAATGGATTGGATCGTAAGGATGGTAAAGCATCCTTTCGGAGCATCATGGTGTGGTCTGTCATAAGCAGTCAAGGAATCGGTAGACTCTACATTTTCGAAGGAATAATGCGGCAGGATCAGTACTTTATATTACCTCAAACAAAAATTCTTCTCCAGGTCCTTAAGTGGTTCCCGAATAAGAGTTTTACGTTTATGCATGACTTGGCGCCTTGTCACAATGCAAAAACTGTTACAAAATTCCTTGCTGACAAACAGATAAAGGTGGTTGACTGGCCTGGTAATTCGCCAAATCTGAATCCAACAGAAAATCGTTCGAAGCTTATGAAGAAAGAAATTCCGTGGCACAAGAATGGAACGATTCGACAAAATTCCCAGAAATACATAAAAAGTATGTCAAGAATGTGCCAGACAGTCATTGCTACAATGGATGACACTATCAAGTATAAGGCTTAAGGCATAATTTTAAGTATTTTCATGTAATTACTAGTTTCTTATGAAATATTTTAAAACTTTGTAATGTTCTTGATCACAATAAAATAGAATTAAGCACAAAACGTACTATTATAATTAAACAAAAGTGAAATTTTATGGAGTGGCTCTAATAATTTGATCACCCACTCTATATGCCGATAAATCAGAAGATGGAGAAATAAGAAAGAATATAACGCAGGCAAACAGAGCTTATTTTGCCCTCTCCCATATATTTCGGTCTAAAAATGCCCACCGAAATACAAAGATGAGAATCTATAAAACCTTAATTCTGACCAGTAGCATGCTATATTAGTGAATCATGGATTCTGAAAGAAATATCCAAAAGCAAACTCGACACATTAAAAAGGAAAGTATTGAGGAGAATACTAGGACATGTAAGGAAAAACGGAATCTTCAGAAGTCGATACAACAACGAGCTTTATCAACTTTAAAGAATTTGTATTCATTAGAATACAAATATTACAATGGGCCGGAAATGTGAGAAGAATTGGAGAGGATAGACTACCAAAAAGAGCACTGAATGCTAGAATGCAGAGAAAGAAACCGGTTGAAAAGGCAAGAAAGCGCTGGGAAGACACACTAATTAGCGACGCACAAGCCCTTTTAGGAGTCCGTGTATGGAGAAGATCAGCCACAGACAAGCAAGGGTGGAGGCAAAAAATAAAGGAGACCAAGGCTCAACTTAGACTGTAATGCCGTAGAAGAAGAAGAATCTACTAGCCTGCATTCTTTAAGTACCTGTAGTATTTTGCTTAGCTAGTCGTTTTGTGTTTGTAGACAACTGTTACACTAATATTGAACTACCACATGAAAAGACAAACGCACCTTGCTGGTAGCTTGTCAAGAAACCGAAAAGGTAATCCAATAAATATTGTTTAATAAAAGCTGAAAGCTGAAATGAAACTGTGAAAGAAAAGCTAGAAATTGTTATCGACTACAACAAAAACAAAAGTTTCATACATTAATCAAACCAAATAAAGACTTATGCTTCCTATTTTAGAAGAACCACGAAGTGGTATCTTGTATTAGAAGTAATGTCCAGACTTGTATTCTATAAACGTTTTATACATTAATCGATACTACTTTCTGTACAAATACTTTTTTCGTATTGAAGTATATGTCGTATGAAGAAATAAAGCGTTTTAAAACTAATGTATGTATTACGTTTTATTTATCGCACTACCTAGTCTTTATATTGTTGTAGAGGAGTAAACGTCATTCCTCATAAACGTCAGCCATAGTGTTAGGCAATATTAAGTACGTTTTAATATTTGAATCAATGCGAGTATAAGAATCAGTGCGAATCAATTGTAACTCGCTCGGCCCTGTAAATAAAATAAGCGTGAATCGTATATGAATCGTGCGAAGTTCAACGTGTTAAAGGAGGCTGTAACAGTAATTATATGTTAACTATTAATAAGGTTTGTTGTGAATTGTGTTTGCGACAATGACTCTGTCAAAATATTCCTAAGTTGAATGAAACGATGATTTACGACTGATTGACGTATACGGATGATTAAATCAACAAAGAAGTTATAAACAAACTAACGATATGAAGCTACTTACTGATTATCATTTAAGATTTTCTGAAGTCCGCCAACAAGAGTTTCTCCATCTAGTTTAGAAAATTCAATTTTAACAGCAATACCGTTCTGAACAGCTCTAAGGGCGTTCATATGTTGATCACCGAATATAGGAACAACAACCAGTGGTACTGCATGGTGTATGGATTCTATGATACTTATAAGTCCAGAATGGGAAACGAATGCGACTACGTTTGGATGAGCTAAAAAATTAAATTTAAGTTTAGACCTTCAATGCCTATAAAGATTTGTTTTTCGTTATTTTTAGATTTAAGAAAATGAAATGGAGAAACCTACATTACATATAATTTTCTGAAATCTTATTATCCTATCTTCAAAGTCCTAGACGCATTGTATTATGCTAGCCAGTTTATTTTTACTTTTTCAGTTCTCCTATTATCTGTACATAAAAAACGGTAGCAAAAGAGAAGCAGCTAGGAAAGTTGACAAACTTCCTAGGAGACTGCTTCCTAAGTAATTGAAAAAAGAAAAAGATAGCAGCAGCGACTTTCCAAGATGTGAAGGGAGCATTTAGTAACGTCTACTTTAAATCCGTGAAGCAATAAAAGAAGAAGTATGACTATTATCATATTCCAGTAGACAAAGGTGGCTTTAACAAGTAGAACAATTGTGCTCACGTTAACCAAAGCCAGTGTCAAGGTGAGGGTAGAAAGTAGTTGATCACAGGGAAAGGTATTATTTCCTCTGTTGTGGGCAACGCTCGCTTAAGAAGGCTGTCCAGGGAAGGGTTTTGCTGCTTAATAGTTGAGTAGGAGCTGTCGAACTAAGAAGGCAAATTGGTCGAAATCACACCTCTTCCTCTTCACCTCTACCTTTCGGCATAAGGACAATCTTAGCTTCTTTCAACATTGTTGGAAACTGCTGTTGTTCAAGCAGTTTGCTTAGCAATCTCAGGAAAACCTGCGGGTATCTTAGTGCGGCGAGTCTTAATGTCTTCGACATGACTTCATCTATGCCAGGTGGCTTTCGAATCTTCATCCGTCCAACAGTCTCGCCGAGTTCCAACTCAGTAAAAAGTTCCGCATCTACGAAACCAATAACCCTTTCATGCCTATTCTCCACCTGAGGAAAGAGTTTCCGTATTAAACGGAGTTTCTCCTCAGGCAGAGGAAAGGGTGTCTTTTTCCCCTTCAATTCGGTACAATCTTGAAGCCCTTCCCCAGATATCCCTTTCGAGATCCTGAAGCAGGTTACTTCACCTTTCTTTCTAAGATCTTCTTATCTCATTCCTGTATGCATTCTGCATTTGCTTTAATTCATTTATTCTCTCTTCCAAATACCCTGCTTGTATTCTTCTTAACCTCTTATACTCCATTCTTACTCTCATGTAATTGGTCCTCAGATTTTCAAGTGGCTTGTTTCACTAGTATGGTTGTTTTCTTTCATACCTCCCATTTGATATTACAGAAACCAACTCTTGTGCATCACTCTCTCCCTCAATTAACTTACGCACATGTCCACATCCCGGATCAATCAAACCAAAAGCATCTACAAAAACCTCCTCATTTAAACATCTCTTTAGATTAATATCTCAAATGGAAGCAAACTAGATCTGTAAAAGTTTGCTTTATGTCGGTCCAACAGCTGCCTTTGTAGTTTTGTAGCCGCAGTTTGTAATCATGTATCCATAGAAAGTTAAAATTTTTGTTGGTTTTATAAATTTTGTATATTACCTACTTTCCTTATAAGAATAATGTAATAATTTGAGTTAATATCTGAAATGTTATTAAATTAAATAGCCAATAAAACAAAGAACGAATCACACAGAATAATTACTATCATTTGTTTCTATGAAATATATTTCTTCTTCTTCTTCTAGTTTCTATCCGTTTCGGATGTTGGAAATCATATTGGCAATCATAACCTTGCTCGCTGCGGCTCGAAACAGCTCCGTCGAGGTTTTCTTAAACCATGTTCTTAAATTCCGCAGCCATGATATTCTCCTTCTACCGGGTCCTCGCTTACCTTTGACTTTACCTTGCAATATAGACTGTAGCAGGGAGTAACGGTGCTGATTTCTCATAACGTGTCCCAGATATTGCAATTTTATGCGTTTAATCGTAAACACAATCTCTGGTTCCTTCTTCATTTTTCCTAGAACTTCTTTGTTCGTCATCCTTGCTGTCCATGATATTCTCAGCATTCTTCTATAAAGCCACATCTCAAATGCTTCAAGTTTTTTAATAGTGGCGTCTGTAAGCGTCCATGCCTCCGCCCCGTACAACAACACAGAGAAAACATAGCATCTCAAATGTCTCATTTTTGTATCAAGGGATATGTTGTGACTTTTGAAGATGGCGCTCATTTTGTTAAAGACCGTTCTTGCCTTTCCTATGCGGCACTTTATTTCCTGTAAATTGCTCCACTGTTCGTTAATAATAGTTCCCAGGTAACAATACTGTTTTACTCGCTCTATCTGCGTCCCATTAATGTATATATGAGCCCCATTTATATTCTCCTAAATATATTTATTCCCTGCCCAGTTCCACTTAAGGGTCGTGGTTCTTTCGATGACGTCTTGAACTCCTGATCTTTGCCTGATGTCTTGGTTCGTTATGTGGTCTCGAAGGCTCATGGTCAGCATTGCATGTTCCATGGCTCGTTGGTTAATATAATAATATAATAATAAATCACATTGGTTATAAATCTTTTACTTGAGACACATGGGCACTTTTTAGAATATGGCTTAATTTACCAAATGCTGCCCATGTCCGAGATATTTGTAAGTGTCTGTTTGTTGTATGGTATTATTATCTATAGTTATATTTGCACTCATTACGAGATTTGTCATAAGTTTAGTTTTCTCAAAGTTTAACTTAAATCCAGCTCTTTCAGATAGACTTTTAAGTGAATGTATCATAGAAACTGTATCCTGTAAGTTATCTGCGATTAATACATCATCTGCAAACCTTAGATGATTTAATCTTTCTCCATCTATCTTGTCATTGAGTGTTCTTAAATATTGACTCTAGAGCTGCCGTGAACAATTTTGGTGAAACCCTTGTCTCCTTGTCTAACCTTCTCGTAATCGACAAATGCAAGAACCAGTGGTATGTTGTACTCGATGTACTTTTCTATTAAGATCTTTATGGTATGCAAATGGTCATTTGTGCCATATCCTGCCCTGAAGCCTGCCTGTTCTTTGGGCTGATAGAAATGAAGTTTAGGTGTTAGTCTCTTTGTTAAGATTTTCATAAAGAGTTTGTACATATGTGTCAAGAGGCTGATGGGTCTATAATTTTTTAACTTGGTAGTATCGTCTTTTTTGTGTAATAAGACTACACTGCATTGTTCGAGTCTTTTGGAATCGTACCCGCATGTAAGCATGTATTAAACAGTTTGCTTACTGATTTTAATAGAATTTCTCCTCCTGCTTTCATTGCCTCAATAACGAGTACATCATCACCAGTCGATCGATGGTTCTTCATTTCCGTTAAAGCTACTTTTACTTCTGACACAGTAATGGGTAAAAGTATTTCCGATCCCTGGTTTATGAGAGTCTTTACTCGTGTCGGAAAATTTTTTTGTGATCTTTGGCTGGTATAGAGGTCTTTATAAAACTCTCTGGTTATTTTCAGAATGTTTTGCTTATCTGTTGTTGCTTTTTTGTCTTCATTTCTAAGCTTGTATATTTATTTTTTACTTTGTGTGAGTTTTCTTTTCATTATCTTTAAACCTTTATTCCCTTCTACTGTTTGAGTAATTACATTAGTATTATATCTTCTTACATATTTTCTAATTTCCGCTGAAATTCTTTTATTTAGTTTCTTATATTCTTCTTTGTTTCCCTTTTCGTTCTCGCTTAATTTCGTCGTATTTACATGGGAGCTTTTGTATCGTTGCTAATCTTTTTACTTTTGGTGTCATTTTTCATGCAAAATTTGAGATGTGCATTTCTAACCGAGTCTGTTATTAATTTATTGTGATCGTCGATACTTAGAGGTTTGGAATTATTACTCTGTAAAGTTTCGGCTATATTTTTTATGTATGCTTCTGGCTGATTTGGTGAATTCCAAACTATGCGATTTTAGTTTGACCTGATCTTCACCTCTTCTTTTGACTTCGCTAATTCCTATAATATCCCATTTCACATAATTGAGTTCTTCCTCCAGTTCCGTCATTTTTTCATGCTTAGATAAGCTTATTACATTATACGTAATTATGTGCAGCGTTCGTCGTTTTTGGTAGCCTCCTATAACCCGGGGATTCTTCGCACCCTCTGTCCGCTGTCCTTGAGTCCTACCGCTACCTTGATTGGGAACTAGCGAGCTGCCGGGGACTGAGGGCCATTTTTTTGAATGTCTGTACATGCTGAGGGGATTTTGACATTTAAACACCAGGCTTTACCAGGCGGGTTGGTGAATTGGTTTGGGAAATTGATAGGATAGTAGGTATTGGGTAGGAATGGGGTTAGGACATGATTCCTCTCCACAAAAGTTGAGAGAGAATCAAGGCTCGCTTGGGGCAGGGTCGCATCCCTGAAGTAAGTCTAACCTCCACTGGGATTGTGGAAGAGTACCTATCCGCTACACCTCCATAGAAAAGTTGTGGAGCAATTTAAATAATTGTTTACGACATTGAAACAAACATACACAGAGTTTAGTATAAAAGTCTTATCTGAGACCAAAATATGAAACAATTAGCGCTTTTATACTGCTAAAGTTCTAAAAAATATTACTTTGGGATCTGTGTCCGACAGAATAGCGATGAGTTAAATTAGCAAAATTAACTAAAGGAGTTATATACTTACCAAGAATGTCCGACTGAGGTAACCATTTTGATACCAACAAATTATCGGGTTTATTAGGAACTTGAAGCGAATCAAATTTCCAAATAAACCGCTGCGGTAGATTTTGAATAGCTCTCAGCAAACTCTCAATTGTATTATTTGAAAATTTTTCCATATTAACGTTGGTTCCAAAACTAATTAAAACTACACCATGCTTAGCATCGTCTAAAAACTTCTTGATATCGTTAGGTAACTTTCTAGTAGATACATGGAACCCTCCAATTTCTACAGCAGCACTAGTGAGCAAAGAAGGTTCAGCGATGAGAGGATGCGAATTCAGAAGAAGGAAGCTCGTACTTGTCATAACTTCGTAAAGATCCATTTCCTTGCCAAAGTTCTGTTTTAATATTGTCTGCTGCTGTGGATAATATACATACTCTTTTTGGTACATGTCGTATAAAAAATGTAAAGTATTTATGAGACGTTCATAAAATGTCATTGTGCTGGTTTTCTGGGTTATGCTATAGGGTGTTATAGACGGTAATCTTACATTTCCAATAAAGTTGCTGCACCTACGAAATAGATGTTTGAAATTAAACATAAGGGCATGAATATTCAAAAATTTTATTTACAGTACAACATGTCTAAAATCTCCCACTCCACCTTATTTTTTTATATCTATGTAACCTAAATAAGCAAGTGAAGAATTTGGTCTGTCACTGAATACAAAGAAGACCAAATTCATGATAATTACAAAGAAACGTATCAATAATATCAACTTACATGTAGGACAGAATCTCATTGAACGAGTACAAAATTACAATTACCTCGGAACAAATATTAACGAGTCAAACGAATACACCAGAGAAATAAGAATTAGAATAGAGAAAGCCCGCAGTGCCTTTAACAATATGAAACAAATGTTGTGTAGCCGTAACCTAAGCCTAAAGCTGAAAATACGAATGCTTAAATGTTATGTTTTCTCGGTCCTGTTGTATGGGGTGAAGGCGTGGACACTAAATAAGCAATGTATGGGTAAGCTGGAGGCATTTGAGATGTGGGCGTACCGAAGAATGTTAAAAATCTCCTGGAAGGATAAGATAACTAACCAAGTTGTATTAGACAGGATGAACAAACAAAAGGAGGTCGTATTGAGTGTTAAAGTGAGGAAACTACAATACCTGGGACATATTACACGTGGGAATAAATATCAACTGTTACAACTAATTATGCAAGGAAAGATTGAAGGTAGGCGCAGCATAGGTAGGAGAAGAATGTCGTGGTTGAGAAACCTCAGGGAGTGGTTTGCTTGCACCTCCATACAATTGTTCCGAGCGGCAGCCTCCAGGGTCAAAATTGCCATGATGATAGCCAACCTTCGTAGCGGAGATGGCACGTGAAGAAGAAGAACCTAAATGAGTGAATTTTTGGGGCAACTGCACTAACGCATTTGTTCATTGTATTCGTTATTAATGTGTCAACTCTGTGAAGTGGCTCCAGGAGTAAAACAAAGATTTAATGAAAACCATGTCAACACCAATATAGAACTTATAGGTAATCTGTGTGCTTTTAACTGGGAATGGGAACTGGAAATCAATTATACATTTTTCGACCATAAGCTCCAGTATAAATATACATTTGAAAACTCAAGGGGGCACAAATCTATGATTGATTTTATAGTCACAAATAGAAAAATCCACCCAAAGCAGAATCTAGATATCCGAACTTTAAACTCAGCAGACGCAGGGAGTGAACACAACCTAGTACTAGCAAAAATAAGAATGAAAATAGCACTAAAACATTTTCTACAGGTACTCACTGAGGCAAAATTCAATTTAGAATCACTGTGGATCGACTCTACGACAGAAATGTACCAAAGTAGACTAGCACAGAGAATACAGCTGAAACAAATAGACGGCAACGAAGATATAAACGCGAGCTTGGAGAAAATTAAAAACAACTTTCAAGAAGTAGCAACAGAAGCTATAGGAAAACGCAGTCATGCTGAGCAAAAGAAACAACAACAATACACCATGGTTCAGAAAAGAAATAAAAGAGGAATGTAAAGAGAAATGAGAGGCCTAAACGAAGTACAAAACATAAAATACTCCATAATCTCGAGACACCTATAAACGAATACGAAATGAAAAAAAGCAGTTGGTAAGAAAAACAAAAAAAATGGCAGAATTGAAAGAATACAATAACACCAGCAAACGAATGGGAAAGATACCTGACTGTTTAAAGGAAAAGAAAATAATAGTAAACACAATAACGTACCTGAATTAAGACACGAAATAGAAATCATTTCTCAGGAAGCAGAGATAGCCATAAATTCACTCAAAAATAGAAAGTCAGCAGGACCAGATGGAATAACAAACGAGCTTCTAAAACACTGAGGAAAAAGTATAACCCTCGAGATAACAAAACTTATACAAAAACTATTATTGCACTGCAAGATACCAGACGCATGGAGAAACCGCATAATGATACCAATTTTCAAGAAAGAAGATAAAGCAGACCCAACAATTAGAGAAGTATAAATGTACTGAATACCGCACTTAAGCTTAACACAAAAGCTAGTTCTAATACTGAATACCAAGCTTCAATTTAAAGCCCTACATGGAAAATACTCACAAGAATCATCAGCCTAGATCATTCAAAGATAGAAGACTTTCGAAGAGACTCTAAGTAATGAAAACGATTCTGTAACAATTTTTAGAAATGGAAAGACTAATGTAACAATAAGACTAAAAACTTTGTTTTCAAGACTTCCACAAAATTTATTTTAAACTCTTATCACTACAACTGTTTCAGCTGATTGCCGTGATCTATTTCTGTCATGCGTTTACACTTTATCGTCTTTAATGAAATAGATTGAGGAGGGGAGAACTGTTTGTCTCAAGTTGGTCATTCAGAATTATATTATTGTTTTTTAAATTGTTGAAATCCATAGATTCTAACAAAGATAGCTTAAGGCCTTTATTTTTAATGTGAAGAATTTTAAATTCGTCATTAAAAGAATGATTAGGATCTAGAAGGTGAAGTGCGTATGTAGACTCTGTTTTTATATTACCGAAAGCCCTTTTATGTTCTGCTATTCGTTTATTAAAATTTCTACTAGTTTGACCGATGGAAGTTTGTGGGTAGTTGCCACATTTAAGTTTGTACACACCACTGTGTAAGTGTTTTTTATTTTGGCTCTTGTTGTTTTTAATATATTTGCCTAAATTGTTGTTTGTTCTGAAAGCTGGTGTTATTCCTTTCTTTTTTATGTGTTTGATTATTTTTGTTGACATGTTTTGCCTGTATATGTAATCGAGGAGAAGGTACTGGGTTTTTTCTCTGATGGTGGTATTTCCTTGAACTGGACAGGCATAAATAACACTGGCAAGCTTTTGCATATCGTAAAAGATAGACGTCTGGCCCTAAGATAATTCTCCTACGCACTATTGGTATACACAACGCATATTTTTGTATAAAAAAGTTAACAATACTTACAAAAAATATACTTACCACTCATTCATTGGTAAAGAATTAAATACAACCAAAGAAGCATTAAAATGCTTTGCAAAACCCATTGCGGCTTCAGTTCCAAATGCTTCGAATATAACCATGTCAAAGGTACTGTTTGAATTTATTAGATCCTTAACTGGTTGTTCAACAAACAATCCTTCTGTCATCTGAAGCCAATGATCATACATAGATTTGATATGTTCAAAATCATTTTGTGTTTCCCACGAAATTAAATCAACTAAAATAAAAGTAAGTTAATAGATTTTTACACATTCTACATTTAACCATTTTAAGATAAAGCAAGTGCAGCCCGATTTCGTATCGGTGGTAAAATCGTTTTAATATACTTAATTTAAAAATACAATAAATTACAAATACACACATAAAATTAAAATGTATTTACAACGTAATATGCAAATACGGACAGAAGGTAATACGTCGGTCAATAAGTCCCGATCCTAACCATGAGATGGCGAATCTACTGAAATTTTGGATTTGACATTTCGGTATTCCGAATCTTCAAAAGCATACTTTCAAAATTCCATGACATTCTATCATTAATATTGACCGAGTAACAGTGTTTGAAATGACGCTACTTTTGTGATTTTTATAAACAATGGATTCAAAGCAATGTCGTATGATGATTTATCACTGTTATTTGATGGAAAAAATACCGTCCAAATTGAGAAATGGCTCAAAAAGTGTTACCGGGATTACTCTGCTTTATTACAACCACTATACGATGGTTTGCTGAATTCAACCGTGGTGGTACCGACATCAATGATGCTGAGGGCTCAGGCAGGCCAAATGATGCAGCTATTCCCAAAAACATCGAAATAATACTGAAAATTGTTATGGGAAACCACACAGTGACGTTGAAATAGAAAGTTGACACTTTAATGTTATCAAAGGGTATAATTTTAACTATTATACATGAACATTTGGGTATAAGAAAGCTGTTTTTAAAATGGGTGCCGCGTTTTTTCACATCAGAGCAAAACTAACGAATTGATGAATGTATACATGCTTAATTGCAGTAAGTGGGAGTTTTGCATCGTTATGTCACAATGGATGAAACATGTATCCATTATTTCACTCTGAAATTAAATCGAAAGTTATCTGGGTGGACAGCACCTGGATTAAACCGTCCAATGCGATCAATGATGCAAGGAGATGATGATTTTCATTTACTAAAATTTGTTCAAAAGCAAAAAAAAAGCCTCATTTGTTCAAAAAAAAAAAGCTATTATGGTTAAATTGTTATTTCACCAAGACTATCACATGTAAGCATGTGAAGTGACCTTTAATAGAAGGTTGGGAACAGTGTGTATCTGTCAGTATCAACACCTTTAACAGGAATTGGATTATCCCCCTTTGAACTTCTCAACAACAGGGTTATTAGGACAGCTATTCCGGTATCTTAAAAAGTTCTATCTAAAAAACCCATAGTTGATCTAAATAGATTAAGAGAACAGAGGAGTAGAAGTGTTAAGTATTATAATAAACATTCTCGGTTTAGAAGTGAGTTTAAAGTCGGTGAAAGCATAATGTTAAGAAAAGATAAAATATGGGTACCAGGTGAAATTGTTAGTATTACTAATAGTCCAAGATCTTATTGAGTAAAAGATAATTTTGGTAATAGTTACAGGAGGAATTCATCCTTTATTAGATGTTGTCCTAACAAATATGTTCAAAACATGTCATACAACGTGCCTTTTGAAGAAACTGATGTTTTGCCAAGTTCTGATACAGTTCCTTCAACTAGTAAGGAAACTATTCAAAATAATAGTAATAGTGAACATAATAACGTTGTAACACGCTCTGGTAGGAGGGTAAAAAGACCTTCCTGGTTTAGGGATTATGTTTGTTAAAAGGGGTAAAGGGGAAGATGTCACATGTAAGCATGTGAAGTGACCTTTAATAAGAAGGTTGGGAACAGTGTGTGTCTGTCAGTGTCAACGGGGACATCCGTTTTCCTTGACAACGTCACTCCACATGCCATGAGGCTAGGTGCAACGATATAACCTAGGAATAATAATATGTAACGTTCTGATAATATAACGAAATAAAGTAATACAACTACAGTCATCTATACTTGTTTTATTACATGTAACAAAGACAATGCACTGGAGCACAATTCGATGAAAACGATGGCAAAGATACGCGAAATGGGCTTTGGATTAATGCACTCATATAGCCCAGATCTAGTTCCCAGCGATTACTATCTTTTATCCCTTCTAAAAAATGCTCTGTGATAAGAGATATCACTCCAATAAAGAAGTAATCGTCGAAATTGAAGCCTAATTTGAAGTCAAATATAATTTTTTTTATAAGGGCGCATCGAAAAATTAGAAAAGCGTTGGAATGAGAGAACGGTAGCTATAGTCGACGACCAAGTTCGGGTCAGCCACTTGTAACGACAGAGAGGGATGATCGATTCATTGTTCTGAGTACCTTTTGGAATCGGCACATGATATGGGTTAAGTTAGTCCTTGAGAAATGTACAAGGTATCACTGTCACTCAGTAGACAGTTGGGAGAAGACTTAAGACTGCCACTTTGGCTCCCAGGCAAGATGACATTTGTATCGAAGGCCCAAAAAACGAGTTACTCAGTGCTGCAGTGTTGAAAAACTGAGCTATGGAGGTGGTTCGTGTATGTTTTGGAGTGGTATATCTTTATAAGGAAAAACAGAGCTTGTGTTCGTTTCCGATGGTGGTCGCGGAGGGGGTTTGACGGATATTCTCCAAGACCATGTTGTTCCTTACGCCTGTGACATAGGCGATGGCTTCATGCATGATAAAGCTCGTTGTCACACAGCACAGATTACGAAAAGATTACCTGGCCAACACCAATATAACAAAAATGGACTGGCCTCCATTGAGTCTCGATCTAAATCCAATCGAGCACCCATGGGATAAACTTAAACTTAGGGTTTGGGTCTGTAATTCAGCACCAGCGACAGTGACGGAGCTAAAAATTGCACTAGATAAAGAGTGAGAAGGAATTCATCAGGAATCAGTCAGAAACTTAATAAGGACCTTAATAGATCGCATGAAAAGTGTAACACAACTCAGAGGAGGAAATACCCAGTAATAATTTTGATTTTTTATCTTAATTTAGTTTTATATTTATTACATAATATCTTTCATTCATAACATGTTTTCTTACATGCAATATTAAGTTATCTTTGTTATGTTCTTTACTTACTAACTTTATAAATATTGGTGTCATTCCAATAAAAATTACTTCTGTTCATGATATTTTACTTTTAATTTTACATTATATGTGGATATACCTACACTGGTCAAACATCGTAGTGAAGAAATATAACTTATTTTACTTTTGAGTCGATTGATTAGTACATTTTGATGAATAAATAATAATTTTTACTGCTAAAAGGTTTTTTTGGGTAAATAGTCGGGGTACATGTTTTTGAAAATAATTAGGGTCCCCTTTCATGTTGCATTTATTTTTCTTCAAGGGTTTATTACTTATGAATAAATATTTGTGTTTATAAGAATTTTCTTGCATTTCATTATTTTGCCCAAATCCTTTAACAAGTTTCAGATCGCGATCGGAAAACCGTACACTGTAATATGCACTATGCATTATGCGCTATATGAACAGGTAGATCGATCCTCGGGATAAACCTCATACTATAGCGGCATCTTAAATTGTTAATAATTAAAAACGGATGCCAAAATCTCTGCATAAAACATATAGGATTTTTTTATTATTAAAAAGAAACATTGTCGCATCCACCAACAGGTTATTAGCGGCGTTACTCAGTAAACAAAACTTTAAATGTGATACAAAATATTGATTGGCCTTATGTAATTTAATAAGTTTTTTACTTGACAGTTTTCTCCTAATAAATCTGGTAGAGTATTTGGTATATTGTTTATTGAACATTCTTTATGGTATTTTAGACACTCAATTAACAAATGGACAACGGTAAGAGGCGTAGCACATAGGGGGTTCGTTGGCCGAAAGTAAATAAGAGTGTGTGATCTTAGTATGCCCTATACGTAGGCACGTTAAAACCGTTTGTATAAACCGTGTACTAGCACTAGTTTTCCACTGACGTGTATTTGGAATTAGCAATCTTAATTTAGATTGCGATAGAAACCATTCGCGCTGCCACTGACCAATCACTTTTTGTTTAAAAAACGTTTGGAGATCTTTACATACACTCTCACGCACTAAATCGGATTCCGCACTTGTTCCTGCATCACGAGCACTACTGTCTGGCTCTTCATTGCCGATAATTCCTATATGCGATGGGATCCATATTTTAGGAGTTATGTGGTTCTCTTGGTCAATTTGCAGTTCAGTTTTATTAGTTGCGCTTAGGGATGTTTAGGATATAGATGCTGTAGTGCAAGAAGAGAGCTGAACGAGTCGGTGAGAAACAGAGGTTTTGAAATTCTTTGAGAGGTTTTTTATGTTTTAGGGCACGGTACAAAGCAAACAGCAGACAAGCAAATACTTGAGCTAGGCGGTAGTTTAAATTTGAAAGAAGAAGCTGGAGTAACAAATCCACAGGCAATGATATCATTGGCATTGTGATTGGCATTGGCAAAGATGTTTGTGCAGTTAAGTTAGTCTCGTTCAAGAATCTTATTTAGTTTGTTTTGGATTAATGCATTCATTAATGCATGTTGTTATTGCATTTTTTGGAGAACTCTATTAGAGAGGTGTTGCAATTTTTGATGCTTATTAACCATGAAGACGAATGTTGGATGTTACAGTGAATACATCTGAGATTGTTGTGTCAAAATTATTCAGAATTGGTCTTACTCGTGTGTAATAAGGTTTTCCAGTACGAGGTTTATTAAAGAGAAAGTCAAGATTATTTTTAGAAGAAGTATTTTCGAAGAGTGGATGGTCCTTAATAGCAGTTATAGAAGAAGCGTGTGAAATTGTTAAAAGTGCCCGCCTATACTGCAATGATGGTTTTCCAGTTTCGGAATATAAGCTTTCTATGGGTGAAGTGTGAAAAGCTCCGAACGATCCGAAGTGCGGCATTGTGGATTGTATTTAACAGTTTTAGGGTACACTAGGATGCATGAACAATTGAACCGTAATCGAGTTTGGATCTAATTAGTGTTGTATACAGAAGGAGTAGTATAGAGAAGTCAGAACACCAGAAACGATTTGATACGGTTTTAAGCAAATTGAATCTTTTGTTGGATGTTAGCGCCAAGTGTTGTATGTGCATCTTCCAGGAAAGTTT